CAAGAGTACTCTTGATAGACTCACTATTGTGGAACTTCGGCATGTTCCTATGGAATTTCCAAGCAGAAATCCTAGAGTCTTCACTTATCCGGGATACACGTGCATGGCCATTAACACACGAGCTATTATAATACACCTTAAGAAAAAGATTGTGTGTGAGTCTGATGTCTGAGATAGAGTTCAAGACATTTGTCACTCTTGTTGAATAAGAATCCTACTTGCTACGCAAAGGTACAAATTATAGACACCTTTGCTTATGCACAATTTTAAGAACGTTTGATGTTACTTCTAAAATCAACTTTTAAATTCACGTGGGGGTTTGATGAAAAACTTGATACGAATTTGAAATGGTCATCTGTTTTAATTAATGAAAGTTAATAACTAATTGATTAAGTGGAAATTAATTAATTAATATTAATTAATTATTATAATGTGTCACTCATCAAAACTCAGTTTTGATTGAGTAAGTTCATCCCACTATTTTCTCTCTGCTCAGTTGAATCTCTTCCCCATAAATATGGTTCCTCAGTTCATTTGCAAATTACTCCAGATTTCTGAATTTTTTGGAATCTCTATTCTCCATCAACGATTGAATTTTTTCAGATGTTATGAGTGATGTAAACACCATCAGAAGATGTATTTCTTCGAACGATTCATTACAGTGCAAGTGAAAATCCTAATCATTTTTTTTGAACGAGCTATTTTATCTTGTAGGCGTCGTGGTTATTAAGGGTTATTTTGAATAAATTTTGACAGTACCGCGAAATATCTTAAAGAAAGCGTATCTATCCGCGACTCAACCGTTAAATTCCCCATGACAATTTATTCATAAACCAAAAAAAAAAACAATAATTTAAAAAGTTTAATAACTTTGCTTTGGATAATTTAAGTTTAAATCTTAAGATGAATTATTATTCCTTGGACTTTACTTATCTTTAAACATAAATTAAAATGACTAGACATCTTTAAGCTAAAGTTAGACGATTATTAGGAAAAGAAAATGAAAAACAAAGGAAGCTCAATAAATACTCATGTCCATTGAAATTGAAGAAGAACTAAGCTTTACATAATTTGTAATACAATAATCACATGGCATGGCTATATTACAAATATTGCCCCTAAATTATTATGCATGCATCACCCCAATCATCGGTTGAAAAGTGGGGACAAAGTTACAAACCAATCAAGAAAATGAAAACATCATTTTCCATTAATTGCCTATGCATTACCAAATTCAATCTTTGTAGCCTTACTTTATGGCTTAATATATCAACAATTTGTACAAAATTAACAAGTCCCTATCTAACAACAAGATTTAATATTATCTAATATCAACTAGAGGGTATCATATCATATACAGCTCGTGATTAATTAATTTATACAATTTAAACCATTCTCTTCTTCATTCATACATCAAACACAAAAATATGGAATTTACACTATCAAACATATATCTTTAGAGCGATATTCATCTTTAGTTTTTGAAGTTTATGTATGGATTAGTTATATGATTCAATTGTTTATGTCTTATTTATCCATAGACTAATTGCGACAAAGACGTTTTAGTAATCAATTATGTAAGTAAATTTTAGACTTTAATATCGTTTTCCATATTCATCGTTTTAGACGGTTCAATTTTGTTTTACTTTTTAAAATCTCTTTATTAATCATGAGAATGGTTTTTCCTTTTGATTTCAAATTCCGTTCTGCAGTTCTCAACATGCTTAACAAATCTAGAAGAATTTTGTCAATATTATTCATATTGAAATTTATAGCAAACTGATTGAAGTTCTTTAATAATGATTGCATGATGAAATCAACTACAAGCTATTTTTTGAGGAAAAAATCCAATCTATCGAGGTTCTCCATATATTAAATCATTTGGACTACATGAGGATCTACATGGCTCCCTCATTTAGCTTGCATTGAAAAAGAACTTTATAAACTTCAAACCTCGCATGCCTAAGCTGCTCTTGATAGATTATCTTTAGGTGTTCGATCATATCTAACAATGTCATTTCTCATGTTGTTTTTGCAATTATGAGTTCATGGTAGCCAACATGTAACATGTAGTTTCTAAGGTGTCATTAACATGCTTCTTAAAAGTATCGATTTCAACTCTAGGAGCATAACTGAAATACTCTTCTTCGAGACTATATTTCTTTAAGACATAAGATTTTTTTTCTCTTGTTTGAGACTAATATTCAAGTTTCGGTGTCAATCCATTTTTTTTGTCTCATACGATTTCTTTTGTCATAGATTAATCACAAAATGTTGTTTGAATTATTTATTAATAGAGTAATTTACATTTCAAAAATTACGAAGATATAAGTACCACTAAAAACATATTAAATTAGGTCATTAATTAAATATGCTCCCAAGAGTTTACTCAAATTAAATGATTCTCACCATTTGATTTAGAAAGTTCCGTTGGAAGACTGTCTCATGGATGAAGATCCATATTTCACTTTGTTTTAAGTCAGCGGTAGGCTGATTACACAAAAATCAGTTATTTAGGTAGGAACTTCTTCTAATTGTATCTAAAATAACTCTCGAACGTTATCAGTGGGGCGAATAACTCACTACTAAAAAATCCGCTTATAGTGACTGCAAAATTTCGGTCACTTTAACCATCGAATTAGCCATCAAACTTTGACATTATGTTAATAAAAAATTTTAAGTCGTTAAATCGGTCACTAAATAAAATTAGTTACCAAATTAGTGACTGAAATTTTGTGACAGTAATCTTCAGTCACAATATATATTTTTAAAATTTTAATTTATTAAAAAATTCAGTGATCGAAATTTCGGTCACTAATAAATTTTGTAGTTTTATTTTTTAAATTACTATTTCCCTCCTAATTTTCTCTCCTTTTTAAATATTTTAAGTTCATCCTAACTTTTAGTTTTTATTCAAAATTTCACATTTTTTTATAACAAATAAAATATATATTTATATAAAAAAAATTTATAAACATAAATTTATTAATTTGATAAAAAAATGTAATTTAAATGACGTTATAATAATTTAAATATATTCTAATAATATATACCAATTTAAATATAAAATTGACAATTATTATGATTCGTCCTTGTACTCTATAATCTATGGTTACATGTTCGATGACAATTATTTTCATTTTATTTTAATTTATTTAACACACTAAAAACAGTGGCTAATTTTGTCTTGATTTCGGTCACTGAATACGTTGTTAAACGCTAGCGATTATCATTTTTCCAACTGAAAAATTGTAGTCGTTTTATAGGTCGCTAAATGTTATAGTGACCAATTTCTTAAGTTTCTTCAATCTCTAATCCGGTCACTAAACATGAAGTTTTTTGGTAATTCCTTATTCTAATATATCATATATGGATTATTTCTAACTCTTACTTCTAAACATATATAGTCGTATTTAGACATGGCAATATAACTCATACCCGTGGATACCCGCCCCGAATTTGACGGGGAAAATCTGCTTTGACTGGGTTTGGATTTTCCCCGATTTTTAAATATGGGGATGGGGAGGATAATAGGGACTGTAGTACCCACCCCGAACCCGTCCCTGAACCCGCCTCGTTTATTATTATTATTATTATTTAAAAAAATCATAATATTTTTTATAAAATCATACATTATATTTTTAACTCTTCCACTTCGAGATTGTATTTTATTTTTGTAATACAAGTTAATATTTCTTAAGAGTGGGACAGTTGTTGGGTTTGGGGGCGGGGCGGGAATCCCTGAACCCATTTGGGACGGGGTTGGGGTTCAATTATTCATCCCCGCTGGGGTTCGGGGCGGGGAACGGGGATTTATTTGGGATTCGGGTTTGGGTTGGGGGAATACAAAAACTGTCCCCACCCCGCCCCGTTGTCATCCCTAATCGTATTATAATTAGTTTGGTTATATTAAACCCAACGTTTTAGCAATTGTATATTATATCAATTTCATCACACCTTACTAATATACATTATTATATACTAGTATTGTGAGTGTTAAATATTAGAAAGTTTAAACTTAATATTTATTTTGAGAGAATTTATAATTAATTTGATTTCATCGACTTATTTATCGTATAAATCGTCTCTCACATACATCAACATACATTCACATGCATCGATATACATATAAGATATAATTATATGGTTATGACCCAAGTGCAATTATTTCCTCAAGTCAATAAGAGAATCTAAGCTAAACCTAAAGACGATTTATATTTCTCAAAACTAGACTTCCATAGTTGTCCTCTTTGATCTTGTCTTCTTCCCTTTCTTCATTACATTAAATAAAAGAATAGTCGTTTACTATTGGGAAAAACTCAAGTCTCACATTGGTCAAAGATACAATCTACAAAGAGTTTATATAGAGTGACATCTATCACCTTACCAACCGGTTTTGTAGGGTTGAGTTAGGTCAAACTCTAATTCTATCATGGTATCACGAGTCTATCGATTTGAGCCACCCACCATTTATATATGCGAACCAAGCCAAAAAAAAAGTGTTGGGCGCAAGGGGGTGTATTGGAAAACCCAAGTTTCATATATTGATAATTCAGACCACCCACCGTTTATATCCACGCACCAAACTCAATAGTGTTGGGCGTGAGGGGGTGCATTGAGAAAAACCCAAGTTCCACATTGATTAAAGATACAATTTACAAAAAGTTTATATAGAGTGACATCCGTCACCTTACCAACCGATTTTGTAGGGTTGAGTTAGGCCAAAAAGTGGTATCCTTCACCTTACCAATCAGTTTTATAAGATTGAGTTAGACCAAATTCTAATTTTATCATTTTCATATGATAAAATATTAAACGAGGTCAACATTCATACTCTTCATGTAATATCAATTAAAGGGATATTATATACATGTCATGATCAATTAATTTATACAATTTAAACCATACTCTTGTTCATTCATACATTAGAAATATTACAATTGAAACAAGATTTACACAAATAGATATACACTCTTTGGAACTTCAACAAAATCACAATGTCATCTAGGAGATTTTAAAGATTCAACTTGAGATTTTCCACATGGACCCCTCATTCTAATGAAGAGCCTATATTCATCAAAGGTCATAGCAGGGTAGAGTGCTGGTGTTTCTGGCTTTACCAATTCTTTTGCTGGCTCAATTGGTATATCACTTTTTGGATTGTAGAAGAAAGCTAAAGAAACTCTCTCTTTATGTGAATTTACAACAACTCTATGCTCAACACTTTTGTAGGTTGCATTGCTTAGAACCTTATTAAACAAAAACAAACAAATTAATTATATGATTATTATATCAAAACATAGATTCCATATATTTTGAGAACCCACTTGTAAAACAAGTATCTTGCATTAATATTCATAATGTTGACATGTTATAAATAAATTAACGATCCTATCCTTAATTAGCCCCGTGACCAAGACGATAAATGTTTATCCAATTTTATTATTGTGTCTATGCTGATTCTGCCATAATGAAAATAACAATTTTTTTATCATAAATGTCTATTTCAATCAAACTATTAAATTTATTAATTTTATTCAAATAGGTTAGTGACAAAAATACAGTTAATAAGTTACAATATAATCACAATAATTATTAAAAAAAAAAAAATCACCCCTTAACAGAGAATGAGTTGTATCTTTCAAAAAGCAACAATATTCCAAAAAAAATCTGACGAAAACTTAAATAAAATAATAAGTTGAAAAATATGAATATAAACTTCACGTGTCACCTCCATGTGACAGATTCATGCATCATGAATGATAAATATCAACCCAAACATGATCTATAAAGATAAGTACTTGTCACAATTATAAAAAATAAAAAAAATTATTTGTATAAAATTAAAAAAATTGGTTTAGAATAATGAATTTTATAAAATTTCCTAAATAAAATATTTTTTTTATTTTTATTTTTAATATTTTGTCAAGAAAATACACTCAAATATTCATATTAAATATTTTTTAACTTTAATAAAAAAATAGTCTTGAAGAATTATATATATAATTCACCTGAATTTGATCACCAATATTAACAATAAATGCATTACGAAGAGGTTTCACTGTAATCCAATTATCATTTTTACGAACTTGAAGACCATTTACTTCATCATCTGGTAACAAAATTGTCATTCCTCCTGGATCTGAGTGTGAAGATAAACCAAGAGTTAATTCTGGTTGAGGGCATTTTGGGTAAAAATTTACTCTTATACAAGCACCAATATCTTCACCTCCAAAAGCACTTTGAAGATAATCTTCTTCTAATCCAAGGTTTATAGATAAAACTTTCATTAATCTCCCACATAATTTCACTAATTCTTTTCCATATTCATCAAACACTTCCCTGCATTCAAATTTGTTCATCCCATTTAGATCTATCTCGCAAAAATCCATTAAAATTTAAACAGACCGATCATAATTTAGGATACAGATTTAAAAGATAAGCTCATATTACACTTACTTTATAATTAATAATACATTCAATTGGTTTAATCAAGACAATATTAATTTTATTTAATTTTTATTTAATATTGTTAACTTTATTTTTAAAATATTAAAATATGAGTATTTTTTTAAATTATTTTTTTTTAAGTCTAAAATACTCGTCTAGATTATTCATTAGATTTTATGATCGAATCTTTTATATATCATTAATTTTTTTGTTAGACTTTCTTTCTTTTAACTAGTAGACAAAAAATTGTGAAGAATCTATACTAGTTGATCGAATAAATAATAAGTATATCGGTAGTAAGTAAATTCTAATTTAATTGATAAAGTTTGATATTATTAAATTAAACGTTAATGTAAGAGTTCTGACTCTCAAATGGTTAGCTGAATGAGTTTTTAGTGGTTATTATCACTTCGTTTATATATAAAATAAATATTTTGATAAATTTTAAATTGTTATAATAAATATGAACTAACCTGCAAGAGGGAGGCAGAGAAGGCCATTTATTGTAATCCTTTAAACTCAAAGGAAGATAATGAAGATAGTAATAATCACTCCAATCAAGAATAGCACCTTTCTTAACACCAAGTCTACTACCATATCCTTCATAAGTTTTTGGTGAATTTGAATATTCTTGCTTAACCTCCATAGGCAAATGAAAGAATTGACGCCAAGTTTCCTTAGCCAAATCCATCAAATCATGACTAACACCATGGTTAACAATTTGAAAGAACCCCCACTCATTACATGCCTCAGAAATTTTCTTAAAAGTTGAAGCTTTTTCATTTGGGTCAACACTAGATAAACCTCTTAGATCAATTATTGGAATATTGGTTGATTCAAAAAGAGAGTTTGTAGATGGACGATCATAAAGAGGTTTGATATACCTTTGAGGGATTGAATCTATGCAAGTTTGGGATAAAGATTGAACTCTTATTATTGGTTCTGGCCAATCTTGTGGGCTACTATTGTTGATCATTTTTGCATCAAGGTGATTATTGGTTTCTAAGATACTTTATTCTTCATGTTATATAAATATATGACACACTAAGTGTATATACTATATAGTATGAAACAAGTTATTAATTTTTTGTTTGAGAGTTGGTGTTGTAGGGAAAAAGAGAAAGAGAGGTGAGCTAGTAGGTGTGGAAGATGGGTTGATAGTGGGACTTAAATGGGCAAAGAAAATAGGGTGGATCATGGTGGGGACTGAAATAAAATAAAACGTGGAATTCATGTATAGTGTGAATACCTAATAACTTAAATCCAAAATGAATAGATAACACAAATTAAGGTTTTTCTTTTTTAAAGGTTGTTTGGAACTTAGGGTCACTTCTTTGAGGTTGACATAAATGAAATTTTAAATATAATATTATTTAAGTGAATTTCGTTCAGAGATTTGTTTATAATAGTGCTAACGTGGAGATGTCTTTTTCGGATAGGGTTGAGAAGTTATTATGTTGTAAGGTGGGTATTTTTCTCTTTAAGTATTTAGAATTATCAATGTGTGTAAACCCAGGAAAAAAGGGATTTGGGATCCTCTGGTTCATCTGGCCTCGAAGAGATTAGTTTTTTTTGAAGGAATAGATTTGTGAGTCTTGGAATAAGGATGATCTTGTTGAATTCGGTGGTGAACTAGCTCTATTATAGTGTTCTTTCTTTCTGTTGTTTTTTTATTGACTGCTTTAGGTAATGATAAGATTTTCTAGGTGAAGTGGGAGGATGTGTGTAAGATCAAAAGGGTTTGCAGTTTAATTGTCAGGAATTTTAGGCTTGTTAACCTACTTTGTTAGGTAATTGGAGCTGGATGATTATTAAGAATATGTCTTCGTTGTGGAAGGGGGGGGGGGGGGGGGTATTTGTTCAGTAAGGTATGGTTCACATGGTTTTATTTCGCCATTGAGGGATAAGTGTAGTTGCATGTTCCTAATACATTCAGCGTGAGTACCATAATACAGTGGTTTTGTTGCTTGTATTATCGCTTTCGTTTTTATTTACTTTCATATATTAAGTCTTCTTCATAATTTCACATCGTCTCTGAATCACGTTTTTGAAACGATTTGTTTTTAGCATGCATAAACCAATAGTTATGTTTAAACATGATCATGATGTTTTTATTCAATTGCATGAGTCAGTGGAATAAGAACCATGTGTGTTATTGATTCAAGTTAAGTAGAAAAAAAAATCAAAGTATTTTGAAAACCATGAAATTTTGAGATTTTATCCAATTAATTTGAATCAAGTACATATCTTAACTTGAATCAAATTGAATAAAGGCAACTCCAAATTTTTTTGAACTCTCTAACTCGAATCATATTTTTAACTTGATTAGAATCAGGAAACTTTTTAATTCGAATCACATGTTACACTTGATTTAAATCAGACTGATTTGGGTCACCTCTTGTTCATTTGATTTGAATCAGACTTTACACCTGATTCGAATCAGACAAGTTTTTCTTCATTTCTTATTTGGATGTGTTTGAATTGATTTGAATAATATTTTTCACTTGATTCAAATCACGGGCTTTTTGATTCGAACAACACATTACACATGATATGAATCAGCTAAGAAATGGGTCAAAATCACTTTTCCTTCTTATTCTACTTCACTTGCTCATTTAACTCAAATCGTGAAATACTATTGATTCGAATTTAACTAACTTTTTTTCATACATTTGTGTGCTTAATCTCAAGCACATATAAAATCATTTTGTCATCATTTTTCATGTGTGAAAGTCATAATTAACATTGTAATTTTCTATGAAACCCACACCTTCCATTTTTTAATGTTCAAAACTCTTGCAATGAAACTCTTACATCTTCAACCTCAAGTTTAATTTAACATTTTAATCATGAGGGATTTGTGATTGATTGAGAGAGACGTCATCTTGAAATTAATCATTCTTGAAGATTTGGTTGATATTTTCAAGTAGCTTGTAAGATTAAGGTTGTTGTCATTGGTGTTGACAAATTCCAGTGAAAAGAATGAGGATTTTTCTCCATATTTACTTGGTAGTGAGTGTGTGAAAGGCTACAAACAAGGCGAAGTTCTTCTCAAATCTTTAGATAATTCACCGCTTAAGGAATCAATAAGATCAAGAGGTGATTGCTACACACGAAGGCTTGAAACAGATTGTTGATATTAAAAAATTCAAAAAGTGTTAATCAAGTAAAGATTACGCAGAAGAATTTGGTGTTACGCTATATACAAGTCAAGATCCATATAGAAGATTCATTTTTCTCAACATTATTGTGGATTTTGTAATATTTGTCAAAATAAAAAAGAACAGTGTAGGTTCCAATGAAAAACCATTGAAAAGTGCGCGTAGGCAAAGCAAGGACAAACTCTTAAGTACTATATATTCCAGTGTACTTTCTCTCATTTCCCTTACATTTAATTTTAGGAGGATTTTGTATGCTTAGGTGTTCCAATTCTAGTGTAGCTTATCATTTATTCATTGGTTGTGATTTATTACGTAAGGTTATAGGTTTTGTTACCATTGGTGCCTAATCGAGCTAAATTGGTGATTATATTATTAGAAACAATTGATGTTACAACTCATTGATATTGAATTGTTTTATAAACATACCTCGTGGAATATACAACTGAATCAATTAAATACCTTTGTGTATCATCATAAAACCATCAATTGGTGTTTGTAGATTGATTAAGCATTAACGTGATCAAGTTCCAATAAAAGTATAATCTTCATATTTTCATTTCAAACATTATGCACACACTTTTGGAAAACATCTAATATTCTATTTTTGGAAAATTGGTTGAATTTTTAATAAGGGTCTTCTCACCCTTTCTAGACCATTTTTCTACTTCCATATTCTCACCCAACAGTAAGGTTGGTGGCCTTTTTTAGGGTGTCTTAGTGGTGGAGAGAGGTTTCGCTTCTAGGATCTTGACTTGATGCAGGGCTTGGTTAGTTTGTCGTTCCTTGTGTCAGAAGGCTCGGGAATGGGAAGTTGATCAGTTTTAACATGATGTCTGGGTTGGAACAACCCCATTGTGTGTTTCTTTCGGACGCTTATGTCTCGTCTCTGAGCAAAAATATAGGTGGTGAGTTCTTTTGGAGTTTGGGAAGGGATGTTTGGGATTGGAGGTTTTCTTAGAGGCATTCGCTTACAATTTGGGAAAATGAGCTCGTAGAGTCTTTAATTAGTCTCCTAGATGGTTGGTGATGTTTGATCGGGAGGGTGTTTGGGTTTGGACCCCAAACACGATATGTGGTTTCTCTGTGAAAGTTGCATATGATTGCCTTGTTTCTCTGGCTGATCTGCTAGAGACCATGTATGAGGAGGTGCTTCAAAGGCTTTATGGGATTTTAAAGTGTTGGACACCTTTTAAAGTGCTTGTGTTTTCCTGGAAGTTGCTCCATAATAGGTTAATGACTAGGAAAATCTTTTTAGGCGTCAGATTATGTCGAATGGTGGTGATGTGGGGTGTGTCATATATGGCGAGAAAATGGATGCGGTAGATGATGAATTATTTAGCAAGTGTAATAAGTCATCTTCGAGTAATAATATTTATAATAAAGTATGTATCCACATGAATTTTTTAATTGCAACACGACAATACCATTGTACTAAAATGACTAAGTTGAGTTTATTATAAACATTTGTTTTCAATAGAAAATAAAATAAAAAGATGAAAGCTATTAGAGATTAAAATGAACATGACTTTCTCAAATCTCTTATTGTTATTATTTGGTAATTGTGTCAATTCTCTTAAAGTATTATTTTATTATTATGTTAAATTAAAAAAATAATAGTTATAAATGATTACTTGGTGTATAATCTCTCTCTTTTAGTAGCAATCACTAACCGCTTAGATGAATTTGAAATCAAAATAGGTTTTATCGCGTGTTAATTCATTTATCATAAAATTATAATTCTATATTCCTAAAGTAATTACTAATTTTAACTGTTAAAATAAGTCTAGTTTCAAAAGTTAAGGTCAATAATCATTCAAAACCTATATCAATTCATACATTATTAAACATACAAAAAGCATTAACAACAAATTTAACTAAATAATACTAGAATTGCAAATTAATGAAATAGTACTGGTCAATTACATGGTTCAAATATATCAAAATAAATTCATCTTAAAAGGCCTAATCTAAGAAAATTTAGACATTCATAATTGAAATATTCATTGCAAAACATTGAGAAGAAAGATACATGAATTTGGAGATTGAAATTGATCTTCAATTGAGAAAAGACTTCAATCCATGCTCCTAAAACTCTTACTGCTGTAAAAGTCTCTAAAATCTATTTTTAATCATCCTTTAAACCCTTCTTTTACTTCTCTTTAAAAAGGAGTTGATATTGGACTTTTAGGGTTGAGAAAGAAAACCAATACACAATTCAATATTGTAACAATGTTTTATTTTTCTATCTATTTTAGTCCATTTCTATTTTGATTTAAATTTTAACTTATTCATAAAAGTTATAATCTTAGTTGTTAGCTTTAATTTGTCTCTGGTCCCACTTTAATATGGGCAACGAAGCTCTAGATATGATCAAAATACCGCACAAACATCAAAATATAAAATGTATTGAAATTTCACAACTTTCTCCTTTGTCTCAAATATTTGTAAAATTTATCTTTAAACCATGCAATTCTCCTCTAAATACTATTAAAAACACTTAAAACTACTAATAAAACTCAATGATGATTGAATGTCATCACAACTCCAAATTTGAACGGTTAATTGTCTTCAAATGAACCTACTTACAAACTAAAAATGTAACCAATAAAATTTAATGGTTACCCAATCAGTGATCACCTCTCTTTCCAGGCTTAGATGTCACTTCTGTTCTTCGCTTCAATTAGGAAAGTCCAAGGAATTATTCTAAATTTCATATATAATTAACTTGTCTCTCTTTCCTACATTTTTGCTCATGTGGAATATAATGGTAATCACTCAATCAACACACAATAGTTATTTTATCATAAGATTAAAA